ACAGTGCCCAGGATGGCGTGAACGTTTGGGGTGTCAGTACACACAGCCCTGCTCCTGCAGTTCGCCCGAGAAGCCCCGAATGGACACCCAGCTGCTCGAAGCCACTCGGCCCCCAGCAGAGGACAGCCGACGGCGGTGCTCAGGGGAGGCACTGGCCGCCCGGCCTCGTCGCACAGACACAGCGAGTCGGGTGCTTCGCTTCTGCATCTCACACGGCGCAGCCTCCATTAGCGAGTCAGGGGGACCCCACGCCGGAGGGGACACACTTCGGCCGCAGAGTGCTTGTTCCAGGCTTTGGGCTGCGTCCCCAGCCCAGATCCACGAGACTGTCCGGAGTCAGTGTCCAGGCAGGAGGGAGATGAGGCTAAGCCCAGGACAGAGAAGGACCAGCCAGCCAGGCACCTTCTACAAAAGTGCCTTTTTTCTTAAAAAAAAACAACAAAAAACCAAGGTGCAGATGCTGAGCATCCTGACCCACTTCTGTCTGTTCTGGGAGACAGAACAGACAGCATCTGGGGGACGGGGACGGGGACGGGGTGCTTCCCGAAAGCCAGGCTCCTTCCCCTCCGTACCCGGACCTCCCTCCCCGCCCTGGTCAGTTCTAGTTCTGGGCTCCGTTCATGCCCATCTCTGGAGGCTGCCGGCAGCTCATCGCCAGGGGCCGCCTGGAGTCAGCCTGTCCGGTCTGAGTGTGTCGGGTGGAATCTTGACAGGGCGGTGACCTCATTCTCCTCGTATTGGCGTGAGGTCTTCAGCAGGTTTCGGGGCTCCTCGTGCTTCAGCCTTGGATCAGCCCCCCGCCAGAGCAGCCCGCCTCGTGCTGAGGGGTTTGGTTTCATGCAACAGAAGCAGCCACCGCCTACTCTTGAGGCGAAACGCTGGGCGGTGCTTCAGGCAAAGGTTCTCGGTGGTTCTCCTTGTCTCCAAACTGAAGTGTTCTCTCTCCATTCAGCCCCCGGGAGTTTCTGAGAAACTGCCGTTTTCGGGGAAGGGTAATTACATTTTGATTTTAATTTAAAGACAGGGCGGGCAGGGGTCTCCACGCTCCTTGAACGAATGGTGGCCGAGAGCAGGAGACGGGCGTTGTTACCCGATCAGTGTGGGCACGCGGTGTGATCCGCGTCTCGGGGCGTCTCCCTGCCGGACGGAGCCACTTGGAAATGGTTCTTTGTGCCGGACGCTGCCTAACTTTTTGGGGAGAAATCGTTGGAAGAACAGGGTGCGCTGGGCTTGATGAGTTTATAGTGTAACTTAAGAACCTGGTTCTCCTGGTCCCGGGGACGTTAGTTACCTGGTCGTGAGGACGGGCTCGGCGGACGTTGTTTATGGTCTTTGCTGTGTCAGAGTAAAAGCTGTAGATCTCTTACGAGCAGACGTATTATTACCTCCAGAGGAGGACTGGCCTGTTACAAAGTTTCAGTGGCCAATTAACGAAGATTTATTCTGTGTCGCTCAGGCATTTGCTGTCTCTCTCTCTCTCTCTGTGTCTGTCTCTCTGTCTCTGCCTCTCTCTCAGCAGGACTTGGGAGATCAGTCTCCATGTTTAGACTTAGCAGCTGGGCCTTCTGCTTTAGGAAAGTGGATTCGCTCCGGACACTTGACCCACGGGCGTGAGAGAGCGCGGGGGAGGGAAATGTTTTTCCAGCTCTCGGTCTGTGTTTACTACGCGTTTATTTGGTGGAACCTCATTCCGTCTGTGCAGCCAAGTGTCCCCTCAGCAGCGGCCACACCCTTCGGGCCGCTTTCCATTCTGTCTTCACTTGGAATTCACACAGGGACCTTAGGGCCACCGTTGAGAAGGGTCCCGTCCTCCTCGGGTCCCCGGGCCCTACGTCGGCAGAACACGTTTCTGGAAACTGCAGTAGAGATCACAGGTGAGGGGCTCGTTGGCTTACCTGTTCGCCACCCATTTATTTCACCCCCCTGGAAAAAGAAAAATCTGTTCTACATGACATCTGAGAGTTGTTAGGAGAGAACCTTGCTGAAGACTGTAAATCCTGGCGGAGAAGATGCGATTTTTGTGATCACGCAGAACAGCAAGAGGAGAGCCAGCTCTGGGTTTTATTCTCTCATCCAGAGATAATTCACGGACCAATCTCCTTATGTCTGCTGCTGCCCCAAAGCACTGCAGGCCGGAGGGGTTCCGTTTGCCCAGGGCCTTGTGAGGTGGCGGGAAGCACGTTAGCTACTGGGGGGCTTCATGCCCCCTGCGCCCACTGGGCCCGGCCACGGGCGCTACCTGCTCTGCCCGTCTCCAAAGGACCCGCCACCCAGCCAGCTCCCAGCTGCCCCCTGCGTTCACCCCAGTTTCACGGAAGTTAGAACAGGAGCCCATCGTTCCTGCTCCTGATCACTCTGAGGGGCTGCTGGACGCCAGGGAGGGCTGGCCGCCGGGGACCGGGGACGAGGCGCGCCCTGCCTGCCAGCGCCGGCACCGGGGCCTTTTCCAAGACGTTGGGCAGAGAATGAGGTTGCGACGGAAATCAAAGCCTGATGTGGAGAAACGAAACATGAGGCCTACTGACTTTTTAAAAACATTTTAAATAACGTTCTCTAAGGTTTCATTTTATACCGAAGGCAGCTGTAATAAGCTCTGGAGGACGTGTCAGGTTTCGATTACAGAGGGACCCCGCGCCCGGTTTCGGTGCCCGAAGTGAGAGGGGGCTGCGCGGGGGAGGGTCAGAGGGCACTCTGCGGAAGGTGAGAGAAGTTGAAAGGATGGATTCCAGGCGGAGCGGGCGGCCGGCCTCTGGCATGCAAACGCATAACATTAAACTATTCAGCAGAAAGAAGTCCGGGGAGCAATAACTTAGTAGCTGGAGCTCAGCAGCGAGCTGACCACAAGTAAAACAGGGCCCTGCCAGGGTTGCCCCAGTGACTCAGCTCCCTGCCGGAGGCTGGTGCGGGCAGAGGGGCATGAAAGCACCCATTGTTCGCGGGCACCGTGATTCGGTGTTACATGCACAATGTTTGCTTGTGAAAAGATTTATTAGAAACAAGTATGTTTAAGAAAGACGTGGTTTGAAAGCCCGTTGATCTGGCTTATGACATTTAAGATTTCATAGTACCTTTGTTTCTGAGGGTAAATATTTAGGTCCACTGTAAATATTTATCTTTGGACACCAGCACATGGCCCAGGAGTGGAAACGGAGCCCGAGAATGAACGGGGCCTCGGGTTCACTCCTCTGGGGGAAGGAGCGAACGCCCCACGATCTGACAGGTACGGAGGGGCGTAGTTCATGGGCTCGGCTGGCAGCACCCGGCCAGAGGATGGCCCCCCTTGTGCTGCGAAGTCTCTGGGGAGGAGGGCAGTGTGTATGGACTTCACTCTGTTCTTCTCATGTGGCTGGGCAGCCGGGGTGGACCCAGACCTCCGTCCCTGCCAGCCACGGGCAGGTCCCAGGGGCACCCAGGCCTGACCAGGAGGGTCCCGGCGGCCCGTCGCTGGGACGCTGCATTAGCCAGAGCCTGAGGGTTTCTGGGCTCCCCACTGCCCACAGAATTTAGGGCTCTCAGTCTGGGTTCTCTGCTCAGGGCGTCTGGGTGAAGATATTGGGGAACACGAATGACTTCTTTGGGGGTCTGCAGTCCTTCTTTCTTTCATGCCAAAACTAGGGAGGTGTCGGGCGCGGGGGGCAGTTCTGGGCAGGCGGCGTGTCAGGGTGACCCTGGCGCCCTGTGTCTGTGTCCTGACCAGCAGCAGGCCCTCAGAGAAGCAGTTTGCACGTGGTCTGGCTCTCGCCAGCAAATGCCGCCAGATGACAGTTCGGTCGGAAAGGCCTCAGGGACGGTGGGCTGAGATGTCTGTCATTCTGAGGGGTGTCCCCTGCCTGGGGCCCAGGAGACTCGGGTGCAGTGCGGAGGCGCCCTGTGGGTTCTCTTCATGTCCCTCGGCAACTTCCCGAGTGGGGTGAAGACAGTGGTGCCCACTTCATGGGGGGGAAGACACTGGTACCTGCAGCCTGTGGGAAGGGGGTGACACCTGTGAATAGACGGGCAGGTGGGGGTGTGTGGGGGCTGCTGACCCAGCCGCCACCTTGGAAGGTTGCCATTGGTCTGTGATTGCAGGGCCGTGTGGTCGACATCACGCAGCAGGTGGTCTGTTACTTGACCTCGAGAACCCTTGGGTTTAGTGCTCACACACCTGACGTGGTGGCCAGAGGTCACCTCTGCAGAGGTCACTTCTCGATCCAGAGGGACCTTTCCAGACAGAGGACAAGAGGGGGCTGTCCCCTGTGGAGTGGTGAGGTGGGTGAGGGTGGGAAGCAGAGCTGGCCTCCTGCTCGGCCACCTGCGGGACCGTCCACACGCTGCCGGGACTTGGGAGCTGATGTCTCTGCACCACATCTGAATAAACCCAGGGATCCTTGTGCACCTGGCGTTGGGCTCCCAGTGACACAGTATTTATCAAGCAGCTATTTCAAGAGTAAAGAAACAAGAGCACGGAGCGAAGTCCTCCGTGCAGAGAAGACCCTCTGTTCCCGGGGTCTGTCCCTCACCCTGGGCTCCAGCGTTGAGTGTCTTTTCTCTCGGAAACAAGTGGGGGTCTGAGAAATGTGCCGGGAGGCCCTGTGGGCGCCGCTTTCCGTGTCCGAGGGGACAGGGTTTGCCAAGGGGCTGTTGCCCCTCATGCTAAGCTCTGGTCCAGGTGACTTTCCGGTGTCGCCCCACACGGGGGACGAGGAGAGGTGGCCTCGTCCCCCATCTGTCTCTCAGACGGTCAAAGTGACATTTCCCCTTATTCATGAGGTGGCCTTGGACAGCCAGCAACTTGAGATACAAAAAGTTCTTTGCTCGGTTCTCTAAATAAGGGCCCTCTTCATGAGGGTCGCGCGCTGCCGGCTCCTTTGAAGTCTCTTGTTCTGTGCTGGGCGGCCGTGTGTTTTCAGAGGAGTCAGCCAGCAGACTCGGGACCTTCTTGGCCGGAGCTCACAGACGTCCTTCTGGACAACTCGCCTTATTCATCCGTCTCTCCCCCTTCCGCCCTCCCCCTCCGCCAGAGCGATCGCCACACCGGCCCATCCTCCAAGCGGGGCTGCCCGCGAACGCCTCCACCGTGGTCGGAGGGGACGTGGAGTTTGTCTGCAAGGTGTACAGCGACGCCCAGCCCCACATCCAGTGGATCAAGCACGTGGAGAAGAACGGCAGCAAGTACGGGCCGGACGGGCTGCCCTACCTCAAGGTCCTGAAGGTGAGGGCTTTCTGGGTCCGAAGGGGCCCCAGCGGGTCTCCGGAGTGGGCGCGGCCCGGGGTCCTAGACTTCCCGTTGGATGTGAGAGGAGAGGATTCTCTTGTTCGGCCAGGACAGAGCGAGTTGGGGAGCGAGGAGGGCGTAGGTCTGCGAGTCGGCATCCCGGTGGGGGCTTCGGGGCGGGAGGGGCTGCTGAAGTCGGAGTCAGGATAGTCCAGTCAGTCGTCGGCCCGAGACTTTGGGGAGATGTTGGCTCAGCTGCACGTCTGCAAGAGTGGGGAGCAGGGGAGCATCTCCCCCCAGGGGCCTTGTGCCGAGCAAGGGGGAGTCTCCAGAGAGAGTGCAGTGAGCGCCGGGCGTTGGACCCATGCTCATCACGCTGATGTTGTCTTCTCTTCCTTCGACATTAGGGCCCGACTCTCGTAGCCGCCTCTCAGACACACGTTAGGTTCTCCTCTTTACAGAGACCCCTTAGCCATCGACACTCATTCACGTGCGGTTCGGACAGTAAACTCGAGAAGGTGGTTCTGCGCGCAGGGACGTGAGCCCCGGGCCCGTCTCCTTGTGTTTCTCACCTGGTTCCTTGCAGGTCCCCGAGTTCCAGCGCTGGCCTCCGTATTTCTTAGCTCTGGCTGTTCAGGAGGTGACGGCACACGAGGCCCCCGCTCACCACGGCCTCCCGCACCGAGTTGCGCGTAGAGAAGTTCCTTAAAAAGAACCGCCTTCCAAATAAAACCATAGGCGGTTCCACTAAGAAGCCCCAGCCCACAAGGTGTCTGAGGGGGCTGACCTGGGGGAGCCCTGGCCCCTTCTAGGTGTCGGTCACAGCCTCTGCCCCTCCCCCCGTCCCCGGGGAGCTACGTGGTTCTTCGCAGACCCGCAGCGCTCAGGCCTGCTGTGCGCGTGATGGAGGCTGGGTTGCTCTCCGGCGCTGTGTCGGTGGTGGAGCCGGGCACAGCAAGCCTACACTGTTCTCTGTGTCTGTTCCAGCACTCGGGGATAAATAGTTCCAATGCGGAAGTGCTGGCTTTGCTCAATGTGACCGAGGCGGACGCTGGGGAGTATGTGTGTAAGGTCTCCAATTATATAGGGCAGGCCAACCAGTCCGCTTGGCTCACTGTCCTGCCCAAAGAGCAAGGTAACAACGTTTCTGTTTTTTGTTCTTTGTTTTTTGTTTTTTTTTAAGAAGGCTGGATATAGAAGCTGAAAGACTTGGTGCTTTGGGAGACTGCAGGCAGCTTATAGGGTGACTCTGTGGCCTCGGTATACTCATCATACTCTCTCTCTGGTGGTGCGGCTGGTAGGGTGCCAGCAGCCATGGAAAAATGCCCACAATGTTCAAAGTGCTCGCTCTGACTTCTAAGGGCACCCCACCCAGCGTGGAAATCCTTCCTTCTGCTTATGTTGTTTGGGCTGCATGGCTCCCACCTGACGGCACAGGGACGCCGTTTCAAACACACGCGCGCGTGCCCGCCGTTGGCGGCACTGCGGAGCAGCGGGACGCCCGCCCCCTTCGGCCCCCAGTCCTTAGAGACGCACTGGCCCGGCGTGGTGTGCCCGACAAGGCACCGTTTCCTTGGAGGTGGAACTCATGCCCTTGCCGGCCCTGACCTCGCTGGCCGCAGCCGGGGGCAGCACACGTAACTGAAGCTGCGGAGGCAGCAGGTGGGCTCCCGTCTTCGCCTCCCGTGCAAACGCTCACGTTGAAAAGAGGGGAGCCCGGTCCCTCTGCCGCCACAACCAGCCGGCTTCCGTGCTGTTTCACTGGCTGTCGGCCGGGACGGTCACGCAGGCGTCGAAGTCTCCAGAGCCTGGTCCCAGGACGGCCCTCCACCCTGGCTGGCTCCCACGGGGCCGAGGGGTGTGCAGGTGCCCGTTCCGGCGCCCGAGCGTGTCGTTTCGCAGTCCTGCCGTCGAGACAGAACCATGCTTTTCTCAAGGTGGGAGTCTGCAGCCAACAGAACCAGAACCCGAACCCAACTTCCGGGTGCGGTCCCTTGGGGGAGCCACCCTAAACCCAAAGCCAAGCCAGCGGTGCCGAGAGGACGCTGTCTGTGGGCCGATTTTTCCATGAGTGTGGTTGCATGCCTGCAGGCGGTGTGGTGATGGGCTTGGAGGTGAGCTGCTCATCTGCGGGTGCTGCGGCCGGGCTGCCGCCGGAGCCCGCGCCCGCCCGGTGGTCCGTGGCCCCGTCACTCCTGTGCTTCCTAGCCCTCCTGCTCCCTTCTCTTCTAGGCGGCGGGTGTCAACACCACGGACAAGGAGATTGAGGTTCTGTATGTGCGGAATGCGACCCTTGAGGACGCTGGGGAGTACACTTGCTTGGCGGGTAATTCTATCGGGATCTCCTTTCACTCTGCATGGTTGACGGTGCTGCCAGGTACATACCCCCTCTCCCCGGTTCCGCTCCCGGCCAGCCGTGCGCGAGCGCCGCTCCCGCCCCTCCCCCGCTCCCCTCTCGGTCCAGAGCTATGAGCGAGCACAGCTCCTGCCCCGCAGCGGCCCTCCTCCCGGCACAAAGCCCTTCAAAATGTCCCAACCACCCCCGGGGCGACAAAGTTGCCCTGGAAACTCGCCCACAGCGAGATCCCACGGCCGCGCGTCCTGGGGACCCCGAAGGACCTCACGTTTTAGCCACTCGTGGGTCCGTGTCACCCCGCTTCTCTCGAGAAGTTGAAGTTACTTTGTAAAATTCAAAGTAATTTTTTTTTTATCATTTCAAATTCCATTTTGTTAAAATCTCCTGGGCACCTTGACTCCACGTCCTATTTTTCACGAGATGTGAATAGAGGGGGGACGGCGAGGGGCCGGGGGAGGAGCCCCTGTGCGAGGGCGAACAGAAGCGGTGTGGTGCCTGCCTTGGGTCTCGGTGGCTTGCTGCACGCGCGAGGGGACGGGCGGTCTGTCTGCTTCACTGCACGGCTTGCTCTGGCCTCCTGGGGCCTGATGCGATCTCTGCCCTCCGGAGAAATCAGCATCAGCGAGACCCTGCTGCCTAGATATCGCTGCTGTCTGAGCCTAACCGATATCTCTGTCCTGGGCGAACGTTCTCGGCATCACTGTCTGCCGGGGTGCGTCCGCCTCCTCCTCATTTCCGCTGGGAGACTGCCCGACTGGCCGGCTGCCTCCTGTCCCTCCGCAGCGACTCATGCCTGTTGTGAGAGTGTGGTGCCTACCTGCATGCCTACTTCCTGTCTCGTAAAAGTGAACGCGTGGTTTCATGCGTGCTGTGCTGCTCAGAGTGTTGACGGTCTTGCAAGCATATTTTTCTGATTAAAATGTGTGAGCTTTCAGTAATAATACCATTGCATTCATGTCCCCTTTCATCATGAGCCTGCTCTGAATATTCGCCTCCGAACCGTGAGATGCCTCCGGCCCTGAGCTTGCTTTCACGTGCCGCACCCCATGTGCAGGTGCCCGGCCGGCACCCCTTAACCAGTCTGCCTGGCAGCGCTAGCCCATTAACTGAGCGCAGTTTGAGGAAAGTACCGTGTGCGGAACCACCGCCTGTGGGCTGAGCGCTGGGGACTGAGGAGGGCGCATCATCGGGAGTTAATATAAGAACGGACTTGAGTAATTATACGTACACTCGACACGTTCCTGTTTTTTCTTTAAGAGGAAAGTTGTAGGGATGCATCAAATTTAATGGTGATTGATTCGGGGGTATTGCAAACTCCTTACGGTGCGCACACAGTGATTGTAGCAACTCCTCTGCATGCTAAACGCATCTGCTTGTTCAGTTAAATAGAATGCTGGGCTGTGTTAAGGAATTGGACACTTTTTTCGGTCCCGCCTACGCGATGAGTCTTTATTCCATTTCATATGGAACTGGGCTCACCTGGGGTGAATCACCCACCCCACTTCCCTCGGAAGAGCCGGCCCAGATAAGACGGAGGTGTTGTCCCTTCGGAGACAAGGTGGACGCCACTCGCAGTCGAGGATTTGGTCCGCACCAAAGACCGTCATGAGCACAGGCCTTACGCTGCGGGTGCGGTTGACTGTCCGCCCGAAGGTGTTCATTCTCACAGTCTGACCTTTATGTGTCGGCAGCAGCCAGCCCACGGTCACTGGGTCTTAGAGGCCCACTGACACCCTAGACAGTGACCGCCTGGCCCTGGCGGTGAAGTGAGGAGCCCTTGGCTGTCCACCTTCATGTCAGAGAGGTGCAGGGGGGCCCACGGCCCAGGCCGCGTGGCCGCGTTGGGCCGTCCCCGTGAATGCCCGTTAGTTACGCCTCCTGCGCCACTCCGGTGTCCTAACTGTGTGGTCTGCTTATCTGTTCCTCCCCGCGATCCACCATCCAGCGCCCGTCCGGGAGAAGGAGTTCTCCGCGTCCCCAGACTACCTGGAGATAGCCATCTACTGCATAGGCGTCTTCTTGATCGCCTGCATGGTGGTGACGGTCATCGTGTGCCGAATGAAGACCACCACCAAGAAGCCCGACCTCAGCAGCCAGCCGGCTGTGCACAAGCTCACCAAGCGCATCCCCTTGCGGAGACAGGTAACAGAAAGTAGATAAAGAGTTTGAAGACGTTTACTCCTCCCCGTGCCCCAGCCAGCCCTCGGGTCTGTCCCTGCTCCCGTGAGCTTGCCGTGCGTGGGGTCCGAGGTGCCTCTGTGGGACCCTCCACTGAGCCTTTGGAGCTCGGCGAGTCCAGCCCTGATGCGCCGCGGGGGTCAACCGCGTGGGGGTCCCGGGACGAGAGCGCGAGGGGGGAGGCCCGGAGAGCTGATCGGCAGGGCCCTGCCTGTTTGACGAGCCCGAGGGCAGCATTGTCGTTGAAGCCCCGGCTGCTGTGTCCTCTGGGGTCTGATGCTCTTTTCTGTGAGACGGGCTCAGGCCCCTAGTCGGAAAGGGCGGGACTGGGGTTCCCTTTGACCTATGATTTTTAAATCAGGGTCAGAAACCTGTGTCCCAGGGGTGTCTCTGAGCCACCCCTTGATTTAAACCGGCCCCTGATGTCTTTCCAAACTGAATTCGGGCTCATCTGCGGAGTCTTAAAATAGCATTTCTCCGTGTTTTGTGTTATTGTCCGTCACTGATGAGCGTGGCCGCAGGCGCGGTGCTGGGGTGACGGCTCCGCGCACGGGCAGCAGACTGGTCCCCTCTGCTCGTACTTGCCTCCTGGCCCATGTAGTTTACTCCGGGGGGGTGGGGGAAGGCAGAGCCTGGGCCTCTGCCTCAACCCAGAGCCCTGCCGAGCCGAGCGGGCGGGAAGCCGTGGTCTCGTCCTCTTGTTTCGAGGGTGGGAGGGGACAGAGGTGAGGAAAGTGTTGACAGAACCATTTGGGACTTGGTTCCAGGGGGTTATTTTTTCGGGCCAGCAAGTGAAACGGTTCAGTCCGTGTGCTGTAGCAGAATCCACGGGGCGCTTGTTAAAATCGGGGTGTCTTTAGCCTCGGCCCCAGCGGTCTTGAATGGGGCCCGGAATCTGCAACGTAAGCAAGACCCAAAGTGGACTTTGGGAAACTCTGGGCCGGTCGCAGCCCTGCCCCTCCCGGGACTGAGGTGGCATTTTCTGGGCCAGGGTAGTGGGAGGGGTTGGGAACCAGAGAGTTGCAGCCTCTGGCTGTTCTCCACCCAGCTCCAGACTCGGGCCGGTGGGGTCCTCGCTGGTGTCCGTGAGGTGCTCAGGGGCTCTCTCCGTGGAAGAGCGAGGGAAAAAGGTGTCTGCTGGGACCCCTCACCCCCAAGAATGCTGCTGTTACTAAAATGACACCACTATTGCCCGGCCCGTGTGGCTCAGGGGTTGAGCGTTGACCCTGCACTAAGAGGTCTGGGTTCGATTTCCGGTCAGGGCACATGCCCAGGTTGTGGGCCTCGTCCTCAGTGGGGGGCGTGCAGGAGGCGGCCCGTCGATGTTCTCTCTCATCGATGTTTCTCTCTCCTCCTCTCCCTTCCTCTCTCTCTAAAATCAATTAAGAAAATTTATAAAAATAAATAAGTAAAGTAAAACGACACCACCATCATTCTTGAGGCCAGGGAAGCAATGACGGGGCCACTTGTCCTTCTCTGGGAGAGTCCACCCTGCAGCGACTCTGACGTGGCCAGTGACCTGCAGGTGGTCGCCGCCCCTCCCTGCCCCTCCCCGCCCCTCCCCCACCCTCCCCCCGCCCCTCCCCCAGTCTGTGCTGCGCATCCCACCAGCCATGCTTCTGAGACCCGGGCCCTGGGAAGGTGGGCACGACGGTGTCCCATCTGCTTCTCCGAGGGGAGAGGCTGCCCGGGCCCCGCACCTGGTGTGGCCGGACCGCTGACCGTGACTGCATCTCCCTGCAGGGCTCCTCCTCTTACTGCCTGTGAAGGAGGCAGATGCCCTTGAAGTGCCCTTGACTTGACCCTGCTCATGTTTCCGTTCCTCTCGGGCTAGTGACTGGCCTTGTTCCTCGGTCTCCACCTACACTGCACCTTGTCCTCCGCGCAGGGCCTCACATTCCCTCCTCCCGCCTGCCTGTCCTCGCTGTGTTCTGGGTGCTCGGCCGCCCCCGTCCTTGGAGACACGCCCCGTCACCCTGGCCCGCGGCTCCATTCGGGGTGGAGTGTCCTCTGAAACGTCGTCGCCTGTGTTCCCGTCGGGCCAGGCGGCACAAAGAAGCGAGAGGTGGGCAGGTTCCAGGCCCCGGAGAGGTCGCCCCTGGGAGGTCCGTGTGTTTGGGGGATGTTGACAGGCCCAGCCCCTCGTAGACAAGAGCGGGCGGTCGACGTCTGCACGGAGCTCGGTCCGGGAGTCGGCCCCGGGTGGAGGAGGAGGAGCCGGGAGGCGTTGGGTGGAATGACGGCCTCAGAGGGGCCGCAGAGGTGTTGACGGAAGGGAGCAAACCACAGGGGGCCGAGCGCGCTGGAACCTGGCTGTGAGCAGGAGCCCGGCGGGGCCTGACCCCGTCACGGTTCACGCGTGCTCGCCCGGCCTCCCGCCCACGGGGGGCGCTCTGTGCAGGTGGGGTCTGCGCCTCACCTCCTCACCTCCTCGCCCTGACCCCGCCCTCCCCAGCGCCCATCAGACGGAGTCCCACGACTCAGTCAGCGATTGTTCTCCGAACGAGATGTTTTTCCTCGATCCGGTTGTGAATTCTCCTTCTTGACATTTGCTAATCTCACCGGACTCCCCCGAGCAGGACTGCGACGTTTCATTCCTCCTTTGTCGAGTCTTCGGTGCCGGAGAAGCACTCCTTGTGCTCAGTGCCCAGTTACCCCGAGTTCTTTGAGAGCCCTGGGCTTTGGTACTTGGGGAAAGAAGCGACTTCTTGGGGGTGGGGCCTGGGGCGTCTCCTGTCAGCGTGGGCTCAGACGCCCTGCAGCCGCTCACTGGTCCGTTCCCAGGGCTCTGCCCCCAGCGTGTCCACGGGCGTCTCCGTGAGCTCTGGCCCCCAGGAGGGTCCCCAGGGCTGCGGGCAGGTGCGGCCCCTGTGCAGGACCAGTCATGAGGGGGTGGGGTGTTCCGGGCGTGTGGCGCTGCTGGGCCCCCTGCATCAGTGTCCCCATGAGTTCATCAGGTTCTTCCCCTCGGGCCAGAGGTTTCCGTAGGGCAGGGTAGAGTCTCAACTCTCCGCACAGACACCCACCCGGGGGGCGGCACCCGTGTGCGTGCAGCGGGCAGGCACTTCAGAAGGGGCCGCAGGCATTTTCTTCCTCAGTGTCGTTTCACCGCTTGCTGGCGGACACGGGAGGTTGAAAACCAGAGAAAAATCAAGGCAGTCAAGGTCCTGTCTTATGACAGTCACATGTTCCCCAGGGCGTCGTGGACAGGTGGGGGGGTGGGGGGTGGCTCAGGAGCCCGTCTTGGGGTCGTGCATTGATGGTTCTGAAGCACCGACCACCACGGAGGCCAGTTCCACGTCTAGAAGCCGGGTTAGTGCCCAGCAGCTGAAACACCCTGATCTCAGGACATTTCCGCACTTTGGTCCGTCCTGTGGTCCAGAAATCGCGCCGGTTCCAGGAACAAGGAACACGGGATGACCAGCGTGGTCCTGGATGGCCTCACTGAAAGCCGCCCTTGTGTGTGGGCACCTTGCTCTGCCCGCCCGGGGGTCCTCTCTCCTCCCAGCCCTGGACAGACCTAGCTGGAGCCCCGGCCGGGAAACAGCCCGTCCGTCCAGCGCTGCCCTCGCCAGGCAGGGCTGCTGGGGTCCCAGGGAGGCAGACATGCGGCGGGAAGAGCGAGTGTCTGAGACACTGCCGCGTCCCTTGACCCTCAGTCGCCTGGCCGAGGCGGCGAGCGCGTCCGGTTCGGCTGGAGGTGGGTGGTGGGCTTACGGTGAGCACACGCCGGCTCCACGCCTTCGGCTGGTGGGGACGGAGGTCGCAGCCCGAGGCAGGGTGTGCGTCCTCGGGAGTAAGTGCACAGGTAGGTATTCCTCACCCCTCGGCCTGGCGCCTCGGCCTCTGCCCGCCCAGGTCTCTGAGGTCCCCGCTTGTGGTTCATGCCACTGAGTGGACACGACAGAGCTTCTTGGTGGCCCTTTGCAAAGAAAAGGAAAAACCACCCACTTCCTTGCTCCGTCTCCCACACGCGCTGTGGAGACACAAGGAGCCATTCAGTGAACAGCTTATTTACGGCACGTGGTACAGCGGTTCGGGGGGGCCGAGTCCGGGCTGTGGAAATGCGGTCTGTCCGAGCAGGGCCTGCCAGGCCTGTGGGTGGGAAGCCAGTTTATGACCGTGTGAGCACTGGCTGTTTATAAATAACTTAATTACTGCCATCAATGGGGTATTTTTAAATTAGATAAACAGGAAACCCCAGAATTGATAGAGAGTATCTGACAGGGAAGGTGATTTTGTGCCAAAAACAGGGATAATCTGATAGGGCCAAATTAGTCTCAGGATTTGGGGGTCCCTCGAGGGGCCTGGGTTGGGGGGAAGATGTTCCGGAGGGACGCGGCCTGAGCCGTTGGAGAGCCCCCTCCAGGGACCCTGCCGAGCGGCCCCAGGCTGCGCCCAGGGTAACGTGGAGCGAAGGGGCCCCTGGCCTTCATGGCCGGGTTTGACAGGCAGTGAAAACGCAGGGGGGATGAAGATGCCCCTCCGAGACGGAGCGTTGAGTCCTGTCGGTTCTCATACTTGGGGCTCTTCTTACCTTCTTCCCCCCTCTGTGTTTTTATAGGCGTATTTCCCAGATTTGCCCATTGAATCTGAACAGCATTTCTAAAGGTCATCCTTTTCGTAAACACGGTTTTCGAATTTTAATAATAATGACAGCAGCCAAGTCCGTAAAGAGTTTCCACTTTAACAGCGCCCACGGCCCGGCCGGTGTGGCTCCGCGGAGGAGCGTCGACCCTGCACCAGGAGGTCGCTGGTTCGATTCCCCGTCAGGGCACATGCCCAGGCCTGATCCCCAGGGGGGGGCGTGCAGGAGGCGGCCAGTCGGTGTTCTCTCCCATCAGTGTTTCTATCTCTCTCTCTTTTCCCCCTCCCGACCTCTCTAAAATCAATAAAAGAAAGAAAAAACAACTCCCACAGGCAAACCTTGTTGAGACCCTCTGTTATGGGGAGAGATGTGCTGTGTGAGCCCCTGCCGGGGTGTGTGGGTGGACAGTCCCTTTGGGTCCCTGGTGGGCACCGCGTCGTTCACCGGGGACGTAGGTGCCCCGAGCCACCCCTGTCCCTGGGACGACCTGACGCTGCCTCTCCTCCCGTCCTGGGACCCACTCAGGTCCTCTGTCCCCTGCGTCCTGGATGTTTCTGTCTCGGGTTTAGGCTGGAGTCCCAGACCTTCCCGGCTGTGCCTGGGGGTCTCGTCTTTCAGACCAGGGAGGCGTGTCCCCCCGCAGTCCCGGGAGTCCAGCGGGTCTTCCCCGCGTCTCACCGTGCGACCGCATCTCACTCAGGTCAGCCCTCGGCTCCTCGCCCGCGTAGGTGCCCTGAATCTGGGTAGCGGGTGATCTTGCAAAGCTGCTAAGAAAAAGGGTGGAGGTGTTGGTGGCAATAGTCACCGAGTCCTGAGCAAGGGCCGACCCCGCAGCGGACGGGCCGGCGTGACCACCTCCCGTCCCGCAGAGACTGGGGAGTGGTTCTGCTCTCCTGTGGGCAGATGAGGGAGCTCGAGGGAGGAGATTAGGAACTGGGGCGGGGACCCCAACCGTCAGACCCATGGGTGCAGCTGGTCAGGGTGCTGCCGCCCAGCGCGGGGTCCCGCCTCGTCAGCAGTTAGCAGACGAAGGGGCGGCTGGGCTGGCTGCCTGGCGAGGTGCAGGCCCCGGGGTGCCCAGGGAAGGGACGAAACAACGGTCATTCGTGACTCGTTCGAGAAGTCAGTGTGTTTTAGCACATGTTCTCGACCCCCCAGACACGCCTCAGTTCAGATCTTTATTATTTTAAACGACGTGTTTGTGAAGCAACTACGTTTTTAAAATTAACATGAGACGTATGCACAGTAATAAACTGTGAATGGTCTGGAAAGTTCTGACGTAGACACACCCTAACCCTCCCCCTGCTCCTCATTTCCCCTCCTAAACCGCTGGGGTCATTACGTGTCCTCCTAGCCTTGTCCGTTGCTGGGGGAGGCTGCCTCCCTCCCCGTCCCGTCCCAAAGCCCAGACACAGCTCTTCACCCAGAGCCGTGCCCGTTTTCCCCCTGGGTTGCTCCTCTCTGGGGATCGCGGCGGCCCACGCGCCAGCTGGGGTTCGGGGACCCCGTGAGGACGAGCGGCCCTGTGGGCCCTGCAGAGGTGGTCCCGGCCGGGCCTCCGCCCCTTGGGGTTCTGTCCTGTCCTTCGGGGAGGCCGACTTCCACGGCTTTTCTGGCCTGTGATCTTCAAGCAGGTTCCCAAGGCGGCGAGCGGGCTTCTTGTCTCTTTGTGGGAGAACTTTCCAGAGGCTCGTTGGTCTTTGACAACACCGGCCTCCTTTTGCATCTGCCACGTGTGGTCCGACACGGGGCAGCAGATTTGGGGACGATCTTGGGCCACACCTGTCGCCGAGTGTTTGTGGAGGGCTCGCGGTGTCTCCGGGGTCGGTGGGCGCTGTGGCGCTATGCGGGTCTCTGATGGGCCCGCCGCCGAGGTTGGTGCACTCTGGTGAGACGGGGCCCCTGGGTGTGCTCAGGGCTCTGTTGGCGAGGATGGGGCCCTATTCCCGTGTCCTTAGTGGGGTCGGGTGGCTCCCCTGGAATTCAGTTGTCTCTCCACTCTGGCCTCCTTGCTTCTGCCGGCTGTGCCCAGATGCCCGGCTGTGAGGCCCGGGCGCCCTGGGGCCTCTGCCCACGAGGCCTCTGCTAGCTGCCACGTGAGCCACTCCAGGTCCTTCGACACCGTCGGCCACGCGTTCACTGTGCACGATCCAGTCCGGGGCCGACTCCCTCCCCCGCCCAGAGACTTCGCAGGGGACTGGGCAGTGGGCACTGCACATCGTGCACCGTGATCGAGCCCCAGCCGATCTGGCTCAGCGGCTAGAGCATCGTCCGCGGACAGAGGGGTTGCAGGTTCGATCCCCGGCCCCGGCTGGAGTCGTGCGGCAGGCAGCCAGTCAGCGTGTCTCTCTCTCTCCCTCTGTCCCTGCCACTCTATCTGAAAATATCCATGGGTGAGGATTAACAAAATTATAATAATAAATAAAGTAAGGCACTAAGAAAAAGAGTGAAACGAAATTCTGCATGAGAAACTGCCTACTTCTTGGTTTTAACAGTGAAATGGGCGTTCTTTTTTTTTTTTATCCTCACCCGAGGACATTTTTCCATTTTTTGTACAGATAGAGTGGGAGGGAGAGAGAGGAAGGGAGAGAGAGAGGGAAACATCGATGTGAAAGGGACACATCGAGTGGCTGCCACCCGCACGACCAACCAGGGCCGGGGACAAACTGCAACCGAGGTACGTGCCCTTAGCGGGAACCGAACCCGGGTCTCTCCGGACCGCAGGCTGACGCTCTAACCGCTGAGCCAAACTTGCCAGGGTGAAATGGGCGTTCTTTCCGTAGATGACCCCACCCCCACCTATTCTTGGCCGTCTGGGTTTGCAAAGGAGAGTCGAGGGTTTGCGGGAGGGTGACCCCCGAGACGCACAGGTCTCCCGTGGGACAGGCCCCGGCTCCCCCTGTGCAGTGCATCCTCATGTCCTCAGGCTGCTCGTCCACGCCGTCCGCGCTCCTTGCTTGGACAGTGTTGCAGGCACACCGGGAAGATGGTGACCTGGGTGGTGGTGCAGGGGACAGGACCAGGCGGGCAGGGAGCTGCTAGGACGAGTCATGTTCGACCTCACGTTCCGACTGTCCTCGGCCAGAGTCTTGTTCGGGCCGCCCGGGATGGGCCCTCGGGTGCAGCGGTCCTTGGAGGTGGCCTTCCGGGGGGCTCTGCACCTGACCCCTGACCCCATGGAAGCCAGCACGGGGAGGAGGCTGTATCTAAGGAATGGCCGCTCCGTCAGCCGCAGACTGAAACGGGGGGGGGGGGGGCTTGGTGAGAAGCCCGCAGCCCCCGGAAGGAGAGGGCCTGCCCTGGCTACATGAGTCCAGGTGGACTTTTCTTTCCCTTGACTCTGCGCCCCCTGAGCTCCATCCACCGGTTCCTGAGACCACAGTTGACGCGAGGTGGTCGACTTTCACCGGGTGGCCTGGGCTTCCGCCAGCTCCCAGCAGGACGGGGGAGAAGCAGGCCCCGCCCGCGCATGGGGCTCTGCTGACCTTGAGCAGAGGCTCTGGGGTCACTGGGGGCCTTTGGCCTCCAGAGCCGACCCCAGGCTCGTGCCTGGAGACTTCCTGCTCGTTCCACGAGGCAGGAAGCAGCAGTGAAGCGTGGATCGGCCACGTGTCCCTGGGCTTCCTGAGCGTGGCACTGATTCCCGACCTGAGCTGGTCTGCAGGAGGCTGACCACCTGGGGCTCCCGGAGAGGCGACGGTCACGGAGCCCAGGGGCGGTCTCCAGTCCTCGGGCCACTGTCTTGAGGAATCAGAACGGAGGGAAGACTCGGATTTTGACCAGGTGCTGAGTTCACGTGTCCGAAAACCTGACCTGAGGGACATGTCATCGAATGAAAGTTAGTCCTGCAGAGTCGGGACGGAGGAGGTGGAATCCTGGTCATTTTAGTCTCAAACCGGTGACTTTGGCCAGCCCTTCCTTCCCCCTTTCTATGAGAGACTGACTGGCTGGGCCCTGGGCCGCTTCCGGCCTTCTGTGCGGAGCCAGGATTACATCTGTGTCTGCATTTTGTATCCAGGTCTCCGCCGAGTCCAGCTCCTCCATGAACTCCAGCACCCCGCTGGTGCGGATAACCACTCGCCTCTCCTCCACGGCAGACACCCCCATGCTGGCCGGGGTCTCCGAGTACGAACTGCCCGAAGACCCCAAGTGGGAGTTCCCGAGAGATAAGTGAGTGCTCCTGCTGGGCACCCCCGAGGGGGTGGAGACTTGGGTGTGAACGGGGATCTGGCCTTGATAGCTCCTTCTAACGACCTTCACCGCAGAGCTCGTGCTGGGGTGACGCCACCGAAGCCAGCGAGGTTCTGTGTCTAGATGACCCGCTCTCAGATCTGCGAGTCAGCGCTCTCCTCTCTCCTGGTGTAAATAGTCCTTTTCCCGAGAGAGCTGCGGGGCCGTGGCGGGCCCCCCAACGGGGGGCACCTTGTTGGCTTTTGTTCTTTTTACTTTCTCAACAACTCAAACCCAGTCAGGTGGAGTAAAGGTTGTGAGAAACCAGTTAGGAGAAACGTTCTGGCTTCTGCCTTCGGGTGCTGGGACAAGCCTGTTCCAGGTTCATTTCTGCGGAGAAGTTCCGTGCAGAGTAGAAGTCGTCTGCAGTCTTATCCAGGGTCCCTGTTTCTCATGGTTACTAGTGTACTAGGAGGCTGCAACGCTTCCGGCAAGGGGCGGACACAGACTTGGACGTGATTCATGGATTCTCCTTATTGGGTGACAGGTGCTCAGCCGTGTTCAGTCCTTCGGAGCCGTGGTTGGGAACCGTGCATTCTGGTCTGGCTCCAGGTCCGGGTACCTGGGCTCTGTGGGCCAGGCCTGAACCCTTGCTCTGCCAGCCAGTGGCTGGGCACCAACTGGGATCCCCGATGCCCCGACTTGATTCCTACGAAATGAAGGTCGTGGTGCCGACCTCTGGGGCCCCTGGGAGTGTGTTTCCCCCTTTCCTCTCCCCTCATGTGTTGGTGACTCTGAAGCTCTGGACACCGACCTCAGCAGGGTGGTGGTGCTGGGCACGGGGTCAGTGGGGACGGTCTGTCTTCTAGGCCGGGCACAACTCCCGGATCCACCTTCTGACGTGCAGTCCGACGGTCGCTGTAGGGCCATCTGCTCTCTCCTGGGCTTCTCCTTGGGTCACTGGAGTCCAAACTCCAGATCGGCCGGAGCGAGCGCCTGTGCCCACCGGGCGGGCATGTGCAGTGCCACCCTGAGCGTCTGCAGGGCAGTGTTGAGTCGGCGGAGACGCGACTCTCGCACACCTCTGGGCATCCTACGAAGATTAGCGTTTCCAGGGACCGACCAGTGAGCTCCGGAGCTGCGCCAGCTCCACTGCCCAGCCCCGAGGCAGACAGACCCTCGTGCCCCGTAAGCTGGCACAGGTGCCGTTCCGTTAGAGGTGTTGGGGGTCCTTCGGGGGGCTGGTGTCCTGTGGCGAGAACACCGTCCACTCGTTCGCTCATTCGGGACTTGTTTCCCGAACCGGTGCAGGTGGGCACCAGGTGGGCACCAGGTGGGCACCAGGTGGGCACCAGGTGGGCACCAGGTGGGCACCAGAGGAGACTCGGAGGTGTCTTGACCTGAAGCACGTGGAGAGAGAAAGAGGGGGTTTGTCCAGAGCCTCCCGGCCCCCTGGGCTGATGCAGTAGGTGGCTTCGTGGGCACAGTCCTGTGCGTGTGGGCCGAGCGGGGGCTGTGACCACATGGTGAGAGGCTGCAGCCCTCGGTTCAGTCCCAGTGTTGCCACCTGTGACGCCGCCGTCAACAGTGGGAGTCTGTGTGCCCAACTGCTCGCTCCCACCCGGGGGTCCCCTGCGTGCGGAAAATCTGAGTGCTGCACTTTTCAAAACAGTATTTAGCACAAATGTCGGGGGACGGCGCCCGTGAATGAAGGCTATTTAGGAGCGGTTTATGAGATCAGAGGCGGACGCCATACAAAGGAAGGATTGTTTTGCTTGTAGTAGCGGCCGTAGGACATAAATTAGCCATTTTTCCAACGCAAATGTTTGTTTTCCGCCAAGACGTTAAATTTAATTTCTGTTCGGCACAGAAGCGGAATGACCTCAGCGCAGCACACGCCACCCTCGGCCTTTGCTTGGCGTTTGCAAACCGTGGAGCGCTAGCCACGGACACCGCTGAGCAAGGTCGGCGGTGCGGTGCTGACGTGAAAGTCCACGTCCCCGGCCCGTTCCCTGGGTTTCTGAGCCCAAGGTCAGGGCGTGGCTCAGTAACAGGACGTATCTGAGCGTCTGAGCTTAGACAGTGTGCTGTGTCCGCTTTGGATTGTCTTCATTATTAATTTTGGGCAGTCATAGGATTTCTGGGCTGTCAGAAAAAAAAAATTCCCCCCAATGTTTAGATTGCGTTTTTCCCTTTCGTGAAAAGTTAGAGGTTCCTCGAAATACATCTAAGATTCATATCGTGTGTCTCGGCCCCAGAACATGACCATGAAATCCTTTGGTGTTGGAATAATAGCGATTTTTGAGACATCAGCTCACGGAGACAAAGTGTAAGAGCAGCACCCGGGTTCTCTGAGACCCTCTGGGTTACGGGTGCCTCATGACCAGCTCCTCTTGGCCGGCTCTTGGGGAGGCCGAGCCGCTCCCCAGCGAGGTGCCTTCGTAAAGGAAACACCCCCAGAATACAGATGCGGAACCCATAGCCGCCCACCAGCAATTGACACCCCCCGAAACGTCACCGAGCAGATGCTCAGGCCGTGTGGGACCCAGGTCTCGTTAGCCCCTCCGGGAAAAGTCTGCCAGCCACGGAGAGATTTTTATATTTAGCTCTGGAATTTCCCGTGCAGTCCTGCACCAGACGCCGTGTGCTAATCCCTCTTTACACGTTTAGGCTGACGCTGGGCAAACCCCTCGGGGAAGGCTGCTTTGGGCAAGTGGTCATGGCCGAAGCGGTGGGAATCGACAAGGAGAAGCCCAGGGAGGCCGTCACTGTGGCTGTGAAGATGTTGAAAGGTGAGTGGGCAGGGGGGGCGGGGGCGGGGCGGCGGGGGCGGGGCGGGGGGTGGGAAGTCTTATCAAGAATGCTCCTTTTGTGGCCTGTGAACTCTGTCTGGCAGGGGTTAGAGTGCACATAGCTGACAGGGGTCAGGGGCTTTCCGTCTAAGTCAGCATCTCGGACAGACTGTTTATCTTGAGCCGGGTGCACTTTTGCAAAAGAAAAGCCAGCTCTGTCCATGTGGTGGCTGCTGGCCTGTCCCCCTGGACTCCTGGTGACCGTTCCCTCCACGCAGACCAGGCGAGAGCAGGTTTGCAGTTGTTCGTACGGAATCAGAAATAATAAGGGGTGAGCTCTGTGTCTCCGGGGCTCACCTGCAAGCCGCCTCCTTCTGCCCCGCCCGGGTTGTGCAGGTGCTTAGAAAGTACCAGCCACACAACTGGCTCGTTGAGGTGGTTGGGGGTGCTGGTCTCCAGGCCCAGCTCTTCACGTGCAGCGTGAGGAAAGTTGGCGCTTTCGGAGGGAGCAAGGAGGCTCGGGGGGTCGAGACCACACGCCAGCCTCGGCTGTAGCAGGAACGAGAGGAATGTCACCCGGCAGGCAGAGGGGCCGTCGCACCGGGAGGTGCAGAGCCTCGGGACGTGTAAGCGGCTGCCCCGAGACCTACACGCTGAGGGGCCTGCACACTCTGCGTCACCCTGAGTTCTCCCCACGGGTCCGGCAGAGAGGTCTGTTCTCGGATGTGGGGTTAGACGTTTTCTTTCTCCGTGGGCCCTCCCGGGTCGTCGTCATGTCCCTCCCTGAGGGAGCGCAGCAAACGGTCAAAAAGATGCTGAGTTTTGAAGTGATTCATCTGAACGGCTCCTAAGGGAGACCAGGGTGTTTTGAGCTGCTCCCCACCTTGGGGACCTCGCACCCCGTGTTGGCTTTAACACCGGAGCAGCCGCCTGCTGGTGCCCAGCTGCCCTGGGCCTGCCCTCCTGGGGGACAGGAGTCGTGGGGGGAGGCCCTGGCCTGAAGCAGGGGTGCGTGGGGGGAGGCAGAACCGACTTGGCCTGAGGTGGAGCAGAAAGGGAGGGGGGTGCCCCAGCCAGCCTTCCCTGTTAGGGTGAGGGGGGCCTCGGCCAGAGCCCCGGTGACCTGCCCCTTTCTTAGCCAGCGGGCACTCTGAGCCTGGAGGGGGGACCCCGAGCGGGGTGCACAGGGTTGGCCCCCGTGGGAGCTCAGCTCTCCCCACACAGCACCCGTGTGGTCGTCACCCTCCATCCAGACAGTCGGGTTGCTCTCCCCTTGAGCCCCAGGGCTCTGTGCAGTGGCCCCACCCATGCCCTTGCCTCGCTATCTTAGGAGGCCCAGGTTTCCACCCTGACCCCCCTCGAAGGGGGCCACAGGGAGGAGTTTGGGAGGAGCTTGTTGCCTTTTGGAAGCTAGTGGAGCCCACGGACACAGCGCCGAGGGCTTTTTGGGGACGGAACCATAACCCGCTTTGAGAGGCCCACAGAAGGCACAGACCTTCGCCCGCTCAGAACAGGGGCACACTCTGTCCCCCGCCCCGTCTGTTGTGCCCTGAGGCTGTGAGGGCCCAGAGATGGCTACAGAGAACGGAGACGCCCCATCCCCTCCCCAGGTGCCTCCTGTCGCGTTCAGCCCGTGAATGGGGTGTGGTTCCCGAGGCACCTCGGGTCTGCCAGAGGGTGGGTTCGTGTCGCCGTGGAGGTAACACCCTGCATGTGTGGGGTTTTCTGGAGAGAACTGGCCTCAGACTCAGGGCCTGTATTCATTCCAGTTCTGACTTCCGACCCTGTTGACCCCAAATTAGCTGCTGGACACGGGGCAGGGAAGCTCCCCCAGTCTGGGCCTTTGCCTCCGACCAGTAGAATGAGGGAGAAGGTTTTGCGTCTCCTCTGGTTCTGCTATTCGATTTCATGCTGTTTCGACTCACTGTGCTGCCGCTGGGTTGGAGGGAATGGGCTGGTTTTTCTAACACGCGTGACGTTTGCAGACGATGCCACGGAGAAGGACCTTTCCGACCTGGTGTCAGAGATGGAGATGATGAAGATGATCGGGAAACACAAAAACATCATCAACCTCCTTGGAGCTTGCACTCAGGACGGTGAGTGGGGGGGCAGGCTGACGCCCCGCGGGCCGCGCGTGGTTGCTGAGGCGGCTGGACTCAGGGGCCCGCCCCTAGGGCATCGCAAGGACGAGTGTAAAGTTCTCCACAATCTCCTAAGGAGGATGTTCTGGCCCTGAGCACAGAGGGGGCTGGGGGCTGGGCTGGGGGCTGGGGGCTGGGGGCTGGGTGACGGTGGGGGAGGCTGCTGGGTCCTGTGTGTGGCAGGCGCAGCCCAGCAAGCGTTTGGAGAAGGCGGCCTCTGCGGGTTTTGTTTTGCAAGCGCTGAGGTTTCTCAGAGTGAGGTCCTGCGTTTCCGTGGGCGAGTCTGTCCGAGTGGGGACTGGGGAGTGGGTGGGGCTGCGGGTGGAGGGGCTCCCAGAACGCGATGAAGGGGCGCCTCATCCCCGCAGGGCGCAGACCTCCGCTCCTCTCCTCGAAGGACTCCTGGCCCCTTGGGATCAGCTTGACAATAATTCATGAACGTCTCTAATGGGTCTGTGGAGGGTGATGGTCCATATTCTTGGGTCTGTGGCCGTTGTGGTGTGAGAGCAGCCACAGCAGCGAGTGGCCTGGCTGTGTGCCAGAGAGTTCAATCACGGACACAGGCGGTGGGCAGGACGGGCCTGTGGGCCGTGGTGTGCCAGCCCCGGCGTGTGGAGAAGGCACGCGTGTGGGTGAGCAGGCATGGGCAGCCATGGTCCTTGCCCACGGTGTGTGATGGGCAGAACCGGGGAGCACGCTGTCGGGACGTGGACCGGTCCAGTGGGCGTGTTTATAGCTAGAACGTCGGGCTTATGCCAGAGATGCTCGACCCCGCGAGGAAGTAAGCCTCATGTGGTGTTGGTTTCCCCATGACGTTCACACAGACTGGGCCTGGTCCGTGTGCAACAGCATCGTGTCTAAAAACAACACGCGTGCATGAATTAAAGAGCGCCGTAGTGCTAAGAATGCTCCCGTCACCTGAGCCTCCAGCGAGACACACTGTTTTACTGTCAGGAGGGTCCTACCTGGATGGCCGCCGGCTGGTCTGGGGGCTGGGGAGGCTGGGAGACGGCGGTGAAGCTCGCTGGGTGGACGGGCCCTCCCTTTCCCGGGGACCTCAGGCCCACCGTCGGGTTATTCATTGGCCCGATTTCAGTATTATCGTGTCTTGGGGGACAGGGAGCTCGAGCAGAGCGAGGTTTGGGGGGATGGCTGGTCAGGTTATTGATTGCATGTGCCATGTCGTGTTGGCGTGGTGTGGGGCACCCCGAAAGTCACATTTGCAGCAGCAAAGGTTGCTGGTCACAGAACCCCGTGACAATGCAATACCAACGAAACGTTTGCAAGAGGCAAGGATTTCCAAGATGTGACAGAAAGTGAGTGGACGTGTCGGCAGATGCCGCCGAGAGACCCGCTCCACGCCGTTGCCCGGACCTTCTGTGGCGGGAAGGGTCCAAGGCGCAGGCCAGGGGGGCCCGAGCAGGTGGGGTGTGCCTGTTTGCAGCTGTAAGAGGAATGGTTTAGATTTGTTTTTATCAGCCCCGCCAGGTTTCACAAGGGTAACATTCAGGGAGAAACGTAGAGCTGTGTACCTTTATTATTCATTTATGCGATTAAAAATATCACGGCGCTGACTGATACATTTATGCATGTAAAGTAGCTACAACGAGCCAGGAGCAAGCTTGTAGCGCTGCTTCCCAGAGGTGCCAGGTGTGAGGACGGGAAGGGCCAGGAAGGGCACTCAGTGTCTCTGGCTAGTTTCTTGAAGACATTTGAGGGTCTCTTTATCATTTGGGGGAGATGAAAAAGCAGGTGTCTGTCTCTGTGTTTAAATGAAAACAAGCCGAAGCCAACGGCCCGGGGGGGAATGACCAGCACTGCCCTGCCGAGCTGCCCGAGGCTCGTCCTGGGCTCGTCGCTGAGGGAGCTCGTCCTGTCCACCCAGGGCCCCTCTACGTCATTGTCGAATACGCCTCGAAAGGCAACCTCCGCGAGTACCTGCGAGCCCGGAGGCCGCCCGGGATGGAGTACTCCTACGACATCAACCGCGTCCCCGAGGAGCAGATGACCTTCAAGGACTTGGTGTCGTGCACCTACCAGCTGGCCAGGGGCATGGAGTACCTGGCTTCCCAAAAGGTGAGTCTTCGCCTTCTCCCCAGTTGGGTGGATTTCAGTGTCAGTGTCTTGGAAGAACGCAGGCAGTTGGGACGTGCTCATTCGCTCAGTCAAGCCCTCGCCTGTCTGGGCAACCTGGGAATGCGGTTGCATTATTCACCTCGGGGTGGAGAGCAGCTCATACGCCTTCGTGACACGGGGAGCTGAGCAGGAGACGCTCCGTCCGGGACAAGGCTGGGTGACCACCGGGAGCCCGCCCCAGGCAGAGGGCAGCCTGTGGTTCCGATGCTGCAGGGGCTTTGTCGGTGTCCTGGTTGCTGAGTGTGGTGTAGACTTTGGGTGTTGTGTTCATGGTTTTGAGTCTAAATCTGCTGAGAATAAAGATCAAGGGAAGGGGTATTTTGGTAACATCGAGTCCCGGGTACGACCTGGGCTTTTCTGTCTGAGGAGCAGGGTGACCCTCTGCAGGCAGCCGTGGGCCAGGTCCCCTGAGGTGAGCCCCTGCATTCCAGGAATGCCACCTGCACTGGAACTCGAAACATCCGAGTCATCCGGGAGAGAGCAGGGAGCCAGGTGCTCCGATGTCCCCCGGGGCATGTAGATGACTCAGGACACTAGGTCTTAGCGGGCTCCCGCCCCCTTGCTCCTGGCACCTGCAGTGCTGGGACCTAGAACGGGTTTGAAGCGGTGGATGGAGATCTGCGTGGTGCCTTGGAGGGGAACCTACTTCCCACAAGGCAGGTCTTACTCCTGAAGGTGCAGAAGGAAGAAGCCAGGCCAGAGTCAGCGCCTGGCCTCCCCCACCTGGGCCCTCACACGGGGCAGCAGTGAGCTTGTTAGACCATCTGGAAAGAAAGGGCACAAGGAACAGCAAAACCCGACGAGCAAGCTCCCTGGCTCAGCGCGGAGGGCGGGTAATTACAAATCTAGCTCCGTGCACTCCCGGGCCAGGCGCCGCGCCCAGAGCCGGGATGTTGTGGGAAACGCTGTGTTCCAGCCACCTCGGGTGTGGGGGAGGGGCGGACCAGCGAGGGACCGGGACCTGCCGCCCCGGGTTCCAGTGGGTATCTGAGCCTGATACGGATTGCGAGAGCCTTCCTATTTTTAGTTCAAAGTACACTAATTTTTCTTTCTTTCTTTTTTTTTTTCTTTACCAAATCCCCAAAGCAGTTGAACCTCCAAGGTGTTACACTGAGCAGATTTCTTTTTTTTTAAAATTTTTTCTTTATAGGTTTGAGAGAGAGAGGAAGGGGGAGAGAGAGAGACACACACAGAAACATCGATGAGAGAGAACATGGATTGTCTACCTCCTGCAGGCCCCCCACTGGGGATCGGACCCACAGCCTGGGCATGTGCCCCGACCGGAATCAAACCGGTGACCTCTTGGTGCAGGGTCGATGCCCAACCACTGAGCCACACCGGCCGGGCAGATCTCTTTTCTAAGCCCCAGCTCCCCAGGCTGCTCCGTCTCCGTGGGTTTTCCATGTGGTCGTGCACCCAACATGCTGCTCAGAAGGTGATGGTCATCGTCTCTTAGCGACCCATGACCCGCGACCTTGCCTTAAAGAGACGGAACACCCTACAGCCCGAAGGCCCTCACTGGGTGAAGTGGTCAGCTCTCTGCCTCGGAACCACTCAGATTTCCCACAGGATGGGAACTTGCCTTGAGTTCATTTCCCTTGTTTTGAGTTTGGTTCCAAGCCTCTTCTTGCTCAGCCTGGAGGGTGGGCTTTGGCGTCTCCTCATGCCCTGGGATGTGGGGGTGCTAGGTTGGCTCTCGCCGGGAAGATGGTGGCGGTCGCTGTCCTGGTGTCTCTGAGCTGGGCCTAGTGTGTGGGAGCCCAGCGCACGGGAAGCCGGATTCTACTGGCCACACGCTGGCCAGACGCACGGAGCGGGCGTCACCTCCCAGAGTGTGGGCCAGGCTGGCAGGTGCAGTTGGAAGAGACCCCCGGAACCAGGAGCACGGCCCCCCAGCAGGCACGGGGCTCTCACGTGTCCTGCTCCGTTCCGGCTGGGCACGGGCGGCGTGTGGCGCGTCCTGTGTTTCCTTTTCTGATCTTAGCCCACCGTTCGGGGGACCATGGAAGCACGTGAAAACAAGGACGTGTGGGGTGGGGTGGGCAGAAAATCATTCCTGATTTATTCTTCAGAGAGAGTTTGGCTTTTTAAAAAAAATGGGCTATTCGTGGGGCGCCTGTTGGAGATCAGCCCCACTCCACGGACGCCGGAGGGACTCCCCTTTGCCTGATCGCTGACCTTTGCCAGGGACCTGTGTGAAAGCATTTCTTTATCCCTTTTCCCAAAATAGGGGGTGATGCTTCGCCATGTAGCCGATGAAATGTAGGGCATCACAGTAGTGCAGCTACAACGCTCAGAGCAGCGCACAAAGCGTATCACCCGCAGAAAGGAAAACTGAAGTTATGATAACCAGCCCTTCTGAGACAGGCCTGGGGCCGCTGCCCTGGGCGAGCCTGCAGTGCTGTTTGCTGGGCTGGGCCTGGGGGGACGCGGGCGGACGGGCACTGGCCACAGCACGAACCCAGCAGGACCCGATCGGTTCTTTCAGAAGTACCACCTGCGAAGCCTCGGGGGCACCGCAGGGCTGGGTCTGGGAGCCTGGGGACCTGGTGGGCGGGCGGGTGGCCGTCTGGGTGAGGGGCCGATGATGGCCTGGGGTAAGCAGTTAGCCGTGGGGGTGCCGTGGGGTGGACAGATCGGAGAGGCATTTGGGGTTGAAATCGACAGAACTTGGGAGGATTGTGTAAAGAATTCTGGTGTAGGCTCCTCCGACCAGGAGGGACCAAGAGGGTGAGAACTCGGGGCGTGGAGACTGAATCCAGGTGCCGAAGAGACGTCAGTGAGGAGGTGCCCGTAGCATGGGTCCCGGGAGAGGTGTCGTGGCTCTGAGGGCATCGCAGATTCTCTATACGGATTTAAGAAGTGAGGCCAGGAGAACATAGGGAAATAGACAAAGTCGACGGGAGGATCGTCTGTCTAGGGCAGAGGAATCTGGGGGGTGAGGGGGGTGGGGGGATGGCGCTGCAGAGGGAGAACCTGAGCCTGTAGCAGGGGACGTTGGGGTCTGACGGGAAGCCCCTCCCAAAGGTGAGGAGATTTCGGACCATCTGATTTGGAGCCTGTGCGAGGACACCTGTGCTCTTTGAAGGGGTTGGGGCCTCGGTTTTTTACATTTATTTTTAATTACAAAGGAAATACAGGTTTTCGACTCCAGATGTATAAGACACGAGGGCACCTGTCCCCGAAGCGTTGTAAGTGTTTTTTTCCCATTCCAGTGTATTCACCGCGATTTAGCCGCCAGAAATGTTCTGGTGACAGAGAACAACGTGATGAAAATAGCGGACTTTGGACTGGCCAGAGACATCAACAACATAGACTATTACAAGAAGACCACAAATGTGAGTCGGTGGCAGGGACGGGTGGGCAGGGCTGGCGCGGAAGGTTCCAGAAGGAAGGTGGTGGGTGCTCCCAGCTTGGGGCTTGTTCGTGGGCCCCCGCGGCCGGGCCTTCGCCTGATTCCGCACAGACGCCTCCCGGGCAGGTTCAGGCTGCAGACCAGAAGCTCGGGGGCCTCTGGGCCTTCCCGGCAGAGATGAGCCGTGGGCCTTCTGCGCCCCTTTAGTCTGGAAGTCGTTTGGGGGCGCTCAGGAGACCGCCCCGCGGAAACAGCACTGGGAATGGGCCCAGGTCTGGGCGCCCTGCACCCCAACTGCTTGGCGTGCTCCTGGCTGCGGGGAGGTCCTCGCTGGCTGTCAGTCGGGGTGGCCCGTGCCCTGCTCGGGGACGGGCTCGATGTGATGGCCCCGTTTCTCCCGCGCTCACAGGGGCGGCTTCCCGTCAAGTGGATGGCGCCAGAGGCCCTTTTCGACCGAGTGTACACCCACCAGAGCGACGTGTGAGTAGCCCCTCCCCTGGCCCCTCCTTGGCGTCGGACCGTGTGTGCTCTTCCCGTGTGGGTGGCACCGGAGCCGGTGGGGGAAGGACGTCCGTGGGGCCGGTCCAGGCTGTCACTCACCTGCTCATTCGCCGAGCCGGCTGGAGGCTCCACCTCCCCCTGCGAGCAGGAGGCCCCCAGAGCTCACCCACCAGTCCAGAGCCGCTGTTTAACTTGCCAAGCTGTCGGCCCTCCTTGCGCCCCCTTAACGAGGGAGCCCTGACACTGCTCCTCGAGGGTGGTCTGAACAACACCCCCATTCCGGGTCTGTCCTTCCAGGGTGGCTGAGGGGGTGAGGTCCTGCTCAGGAGATCCCGCAGGGCCGTACCCCTGTGTGTCCCCAGCAGACCTGATCTCGTCTTAGCGTCCTGGTGCTCACAGAGCGACGGCGGACACGGTGCTGTTCCTGCTGTGAGGCACTGACAGGTGCCCGGGTCAGGCTCTGGTGGTGCTTTAGGACGATGGGTTTGGAAGTTCGGCTGAGAGCTGTCCTCGTGGTGGGGAGCTGGGTGACAGGTCAGAGGCCCGTCCGCAAGCGTCCCCGAGTCTACAGTTGCTCCAGAATAAAAAGCTTTTAGAAAATCGGTTGAGCTATCTTGTGTGTGAGCGGGAGGGTTTTGGGGTCGGGGGCGCCCCCGCTCTCAGAAGAGCCTCATGGGCCGTCCCGGAGGAGGCGTCTGGGTCCCCAATTCGCAGCGAGCCGCACGGCTCGGGTGGGTGCCGTCCAGCTTCGGCTCTGCGGACTCTGGGGGCAGTTCCATTCAGAAAGCCCCGGAAGAGTCAGCGGGCGTGTCTCTGGGCCATGGTGATGTGGGTACATGCAGATGAGTGCAGGGCTCTGGGCTTGCTCAGCCCGGGGTCGGCCCCTGAACGGGCTCAGAAAGTCCGCGGGGGGTCTCTGCACACCAGGTGTAAACGCCCAGAGCCGTTTCCAGTTCCCTGTGGAAACTCACCAGGGCACAGGATTCCCCCATCCTAACGCGGCTGGCGCCAGCTCCCTTCACGGCCTTAGCCAGTGAGGAACCTCTGTGCCCCGAGACTCCACTGGCCACACTGGACATTCGTGACCTCTCGAAATCAATTGCTAGCCTCGTCTTGCCCATGGCCCACTCTGGCAGGTCACAGCCCTGGGGTCAGTCACGGAGGCGAAGGGAGAGGTGGGCAGAAGCTTAGGAGCTGAGATCATGCTGCTAACGCTGCGTTGAAGACAAGTAACTCTGAGACTAGCCGAAGAAAAAGACCAATGATCCCAAACCTCCACCATAAAGAAAAACCCAGTGGTGGTTTTCCATCCCTTGCCTGTTGTCCGTGGATGCAAAATTCCGTGGGAGCTTGTCCACGTTGTCATCTTTTGGAGATGCTCCCGGGGTGCAGGCAGGGGTGTGGGGGTGACCCGCAAGGGGGTGCGGGTCCTTGGTCTGTGATCAGAAGATGAAGGGTGTTCACTGATGAAGGGGGCTTGTCTGGCTTTCTGGGGTGCAGGCGGCTGGTGACGCTCTGTTCTCTCCCTCACAGCTGGTCCTTCGGGGTGCTGATGTGGGAGATCTTCACCCTCGGGGGCTCGCCCTACCCAGGGATTCCTGTGGAGGAACTTTTTAAGCTGCTTAAGGAAGGACACAGGATGGATAAGCCGGCAAACTGCACCAACGAACTGTAAGGCTGCTGTTTGTCCCGAAGCTCAGAGACCCCCCCCGCCAATAGTGCTCTGACTCGTGTCGGTTTCCCGAGGCCCCTGATTTTGTAAATATGCTCCATGAGTTGCCGAAGCTGTCTGGGCTCCATCGCAGAAGCGAGGCCCCGAGCCCCGGCGACAGCGAGCCTGTCTGGGGGAGAACGTCTTTCCGGGGTGTATGGGGCTTGCAGTCGGGAGGGTGTCGGGCTGGCCTTCCCGGGCCCCGTGCGGGCCCTGCCGCTGTCAGCTCAGAGTGGCAGGATGGTACCGGCCCCCCTCACACACCCGGTAGGGAGCCTGGGGCTGCCCGGCACAGTGTAGGACCTAAGAGCCAGAGAGCCCCCCACCCCGGCTTGTGCCCCCCCCGGCACGTAGAGAGCAGGTGCTTCTGCGACCTCTTGGTGCCACCGAAAGCGGCTGTTTAATTTGACATCGACCGCGGTTCCTCAGCCGACCAGCGGGGTCTGGTCACCTGTAGTCCGACCCCTGCTTTAGTGCAGAGAGTTGCAGAGGTGTCCACGCACCGTCCTCGGTACAGCTCTGACTATAAAACCGTGAGCTGGCTTCTCCTCACGGTCCGTGGAAGTCTGTCGTGTTTGTGCCCTGTGTCTTTCACAGTAAAATCAGCGCTTTGAGAAGGAGGCCCCCCCAGGATTAACAAAGAAGGGTGGGTGTCCCGGAGACCGCGGTGGTTGTGTCTTGTTTCATGAGGATCTCATGTCTAATCCTGCGAGTGGCCACGTTTCATAGCGTGTTATGTAAGGGCCACCGTTGAGCTCCTGGTCGTTGCCGTGGCTCTTTGTCGCACACGACAGAGAAGGTCTGTCGAAACCCGTGATCGAGATAAGGCCTGGGAACCCGGGCCCGTCCTGGAGCCAGTCAGGAAGTGAGTGGGAGCCCAGGGGTGGTGGATTAGCTCAGAGGAGCCTTACCTCAGAGTTGTGGTTTTCAGGCATCGTTTTAAAAAACACTGAGGACCTTTGTCCACTAGAATCGTTGAGAGAAACCCGAAGCATCGGGTACGGATGCCGAGATCCCTGCGACACGCCTTTCTCGGGGCCGATGTTTGCAAATCAAATAGCCTCGGAGGCCCCGAGCATGACGGTTTGGGCAAGTGAACAGCCGCCTGGAACTCAGTTGCGTGAACGTCCTGACACACTCCCGTAGGCAGGGCGCCCGCGTGTTGCCGTGGAAACGGCCGGTGGCGCCCCGGCAGGCGAGCGTCACCGCAGCAGGGACGTTGTCTTGGCAGGTACATGATGATGCGGGACTGTTGGCACGCCGTGCCCGCGCAGAGACCCACCTTCAAGCAGCTGGTCGAGGACCTCGATCGGATCCTCACTCTCACGACCAATGAGGTAGGAGGCTCCCGGGAGCCCGGGTGCAGCCCGGCGACCGCTCGACTTGGTAAACGCACGTGCCCCGCTGGGGTCTGCGTCTAGTGGTCCGACTCCCCCGGGGGCCAGACGGAGCTGCACGCTGCTCTTCCCCAGTCCCGACTGGCCCAGAACTGCGCTTCGAGGTCTGACTCCTGAAACCCCAGCCCGAGGGCCCTGCGGGGGGCTGCCCCACGCCGGCGTTCGGGTGCTGGGCCCAGCGCGTGGTAGGTGAGCAGGGAGGCACGGAAGCCGTCAGCTCAGCATCTGGGTTGTGTGGAAGGAGCTCGGGCGGTTCTGGTCGAGGTGTGGGAGCTGCTGGTGTTCGGGGACCAGGGGCCTGGACACACCGCAGGTCCCGCCCCTCCCGCTTCCCATGGGCACAGAGCTGCCGTCCTTCATGGCCCTGCCGGTCACGGCTCGTACGTGGGGGCAGTTTCTTTTTTAAAAATGTTATTTTATTATTTTTCTTTATTGATTTTTTAGAGACACAGGAAGTGAAAGGGAGAGAGAGATAGAAACATGATGAGAGGAAACATCAGTTGGCCGCCCCCTGCGTGCCCCCCACTGGGGATGGGGCCCACAACCCGGGCATGTGTTCTGGCCGGGAATCGAACCGGCGACCTCTTGGTGCAGGGTCGACGCTCAACCACTGAGCCACACCGGCACAGTTTCTGATAAGGAGTAACTTGCATGAGTTTTAAGGGAAAACTTGTACCTTTTGCTAAAATAGTTACTTTCTAGAAACTGTGGAATCTAGCCACTGCCACTCACTGTCCGGATCCAGCCGGGTCAGCGGCCGCTCCAGGGTGCACACGGGGTGGACTGGGGTGTGGGTCCGAGCAGGGAAGACGCACCAGCAAGGCCAGAGAGACCCACAATCCAGAGGAGCTGTTCCTGGACGAAGTGAGATGCTCAGTGAGGGTCAGGGCAGGGTTCCTTCACACAGGAAAAAAACACACCCTGAAACCCACAGTTGTCTTAACAGCAACCAAAGTTAAAATTGCCTCAATATTTTGGAAAGAAAACGATACATTTACATTTTTGAATAATACATGTAATTGTAGAGCGGTTTTAGAGAAATAGTCCAACGTCGTGATAGGAAGCTGCAAGCCAGCAGCCTTATCTCGCGAGTCTGACGGAGGGTGATAAAGGGAGAGTTTGCATTTAAATGAACACAGCTGACCTTCAGAAGTTGAAAGGAAAGGAACAGTTCAAGGGAAAAAACACAACTTTCTTCTCCTGCCAAAATTGTTGTTTCCAATATAAGTTCCTTTAACCCTAGACTCGGAATCTACTGACACTCCTATTTTCTCCTGTCGGATCTGAGCATTTATGGCTTCATTTAGAAACTGGGACGCACGACTGGTCCGTTTCAACGCTCTTCGGCCCGTGCTCCACGCTCTGTGTTTATGTTTACACGTAGAGCGGCCCGGGCACACTGAATGTACAGCCAGCGTCCTGAAATACAAGAGCAGAATGCCATATTGTCTAACGGATATAAAAATCGAAGTTTCTTTCCTTCTGAAAATCATTACCATATGCTCAAGAAAAATGGTTCCATTTAGGACAGAATTTCATTTTTATCACTGTAAGCAAAAAGCGCCCTTTGATGCGGTGGGTGTGTTGGTTTCCAGTTGTGTGGTTCATGCTGATGTTGTTGGAACTGACGGACCCCCCCCCCCCCCCATTCTTGGACAGGGACGCTCTCTCTTGCCAACGCTGGTGATGAATTACAGTGGGGTTTGTGTGCGTGTCTTTTCTCATGTGTAGCCGCCAGCATTCTGTGGGCCCCGGTGATAGCCCTGCGGCGGGCTGCTGGGCTCCACGGTTCTCCCCGCCACGGCAAAGCCACGTGGCAGAGCAAGTCGCTGGCTCCTGGGGGTGTGAGCAGAGCACCCTGTGCCGGCCCAGGTGAGGCCGGGAGCCCCGGGGTCCCCAGTCTGGAAGCCCTTCCCCGGCTCCAGAGCAGGTCTGCAGACCTTTCGGGAGGGGCAGGGGCAGACCCTCAACTCTGGGCCGGCTCAGCTCGGCCTCAGGCAGCGCGTACACGACGTGTCTCCCAGGACACGGGCCGGCCGTACCTGGGTGATGTGCGCATGTGCCGTTTTGTATCATTTCAAATGCCGGGAGGGAGCCATTGGCTTTTAATTCTTGTTTTAATCCCTCACCACTTAACAATGTTAAAAAGTGCTCTTGGCTCACGTCCATCCACGCTCGGGCTGTCCCCCAGGGCCACCCGGTGGGCAGCACCGGCCAGGGCGAGGAGGGCTTCAGGCCCTCACAGCTTTGAAACTTGAACCTCTGTTTTCCTAAATGTCCCCCGAAGTTCATTGTGGATGTAACGTCCAGGCCCCTCTGAGGCTCAGGACCTGGGTGCATCTCGAGGTCGAATCCTCTGAGAGGGACGAGTTCGTGTGGACGTGTCTGCCGCACAGGGACGTGCTCCCTGAGTGACCCCTGAAACCAGTGGTCTCCGTGGTCCAGGCCCTGGAACCCACACCTTGTGCTTCACTGTGCTGGGCACGGATCCGAACCCTGTGCTCGCGTGGGAGGCGGAGAGCAAACGGGCCGTCTGGGTGGGAGCCCCTTTGTCCACCAGGTCCTCACGCTCCCCACTGGCCCGTCGTTTGTCCGACAGGCTGGGAAGGAAAAGCAAGAGGCAGCCAGAGAAAGCAGGGTGGGCACCTGGGCCTCCCAGCCTCCAGGGGGTGCCCCGTCTTGTCCCAGCGCCACGTCAGCATGTCAGGAGCCTGTGTGTGAAACGAAACGTCTCTCCCCTCTTGCAGGACTACTTGGACCTCCGTCGGCCCCTCGAACCGTACTCGCCTTGTTATCCTGACCTGAGATGAAATAAAACGTCTCTCCCCTCTTGCAGGACTACTTGGACCTGAGCCGGCCCCTGGAACAGTACTCGCCCAGCTACACGAGGAGCTCGTGCTCGTCAGGGGACGACTCTGTGTTCTCCCCGGACCCCCTGCCCTACGAACCCTGCCTTCCTCAGTGTGCACACGCGAACGGCAGTGTCCAGACATGAGGGGGCTCCGCATGGGGGCTCCGGGAACCTGCCACACTGGGCGGCAAGGCCTCCGGGGCTGCCTGTATATATGGGTCCACGGAGCGAGCGGTGGGCACAGGAATCGGCACACGTGTAAAGAATGTATACGGCTGGAGACTTGTCATCCTCGCCAGGAGAAGGAGGCTGTTTGTGGGCGGTGGACGGCCGCGGGCGCCGGCTGTGGACCAGCTGGGCTCGAGGCCGGGGGTGTCTGGCCTTCCTTGTGAATTTTGTAATAATTGGAGAAAGTATATGTCAGCACACACTTAACGGAGCACAGTTGCAGTATAGAGGTGCTGGATGTGTGTAAATATATTCAAATTATGTATAGATATATATTATATATTTACAAGGAATTATTTTTTGTATTGATTTTAAATGGATGCCCCGATGCCTAGAAAATTGGTTTTTGTTTTTTTGTTTTTTTAAATAGCTATTTGCTAAGTGCTGTCCTCACCCAGAGTTTAATTCTCACCGAGCAGAGGTGAAAAGACACTTTGCTTTCAGGGAAAATGGTGTAACATTAATTTATTAATGGATTGGTAATAGACAAAGCAATTAATCAGTATAGTTGGTTTTTTTGGTAATTTAAGTGGCGTTTCTACGTGGGCAGTGCGTTGGATTAGATAACCTATTGCTCAGACTTAACTAGTTATCGGATCCTTTGGAAAGAGAAATATTTGCAGATGTGACTGGTTGGGGGGATGAGGCTCAGACTGTGTTTGAACCTCGCTGTCAGGTAGCCCTACGCGCCCGTGTGGGAAGGCCGGCCGCGGTGTGTCCCGTGTGATACGCGGCTCTCCCGTGGCCCGTGTGGCCGTCGACCGGACTTCCCCAGCCCAGTGGGACCAGCGTTCTCTTAAAAAGATGCCTTAACCCGCTCCTCGAGGGGGCCCTTAGCTGAGACCGAAGCTGAACGCACCTCTCGCGGCAGCTGGCCTCCTGCCCCCGAGTCCCGTGGTCCCGGGACCAGCCTGTGTTCTCTCCAGCGGACTTGGATCGCGTTCACTGGCCTTGGAGAAGCCTTTTGGGATCATCACGGCTCGTCACAGGAAACTGAAACACTGCGTTGTTCTGCTGATAGTCTGGGGGAGACGTCCATCTTTTTAAGGGATTGCTTCCGTCTCCGGGCAGGACGCCCCACAGACCGGCCCCACGCCGGGTCAGGCGGCGGAGCGTCCCTTCGGCTGCGGGCGTGTCGCTTCCCAGACACCTGCTCACGCCATAGCTGGATGCAGAATACACTGATTTTGTGTGTGTTGACATTGGAGAAAGTATTTAATAAAGCCTGTTAATTTTTATACTGACAATAAAAATGTTTCTACGGATATTAATGTTAACAAGACAGAATAAATGTCCTGCAGCTTATTTTTTTAATACTCCTGTCTCGTCGAGTGTCTCCTGTGCTCGGAGGTGTGGACCGGGTGCTGCCGGGTGGTCAGAGGGAGGCGGGGCTCCGTGTGTCACTGGGGGGGACCCAGTGCCGAGGACGCGTGGGGGGTCTGGGGCGGGGTCGGAGCCTGGCTCTTGCTTACGGGGTCCCCGTGCCTTCCAGGCCTACTGCCCCCAGAGGAGCGGGAGGGATGGGTGGGGAGAGCCTGCGGGGGGCTGCTGTCCGGACGGGTCAGGTGAGCGGGCACATGGTCAGAAGGTCCTGGCACTGGGGACCTTGGAACCCGCAGCTCGCTCCCTTGTCCTGTACGCAGAGGAGACGTTGCCTCTGAAGTGGCAGAAAGGACGTGAGCAAAATTTTAAACAATTTTACTCGTTTTCACGCCACCACCAATCTGCAGGGAGAAGCAGCATTCGGCCTGTTATCAAATGCGAGCCCAGGACTCGGGGTCTCATCATACCTGCTGCCCGTCCCCACGCCAGGCCCCCGGGGGGTCATCGGTGGTTCAGAAGGGTCTGCCCCGGGGTCTGGGTCGTGCTGGCATCTGGACAGTGGTCTGCAGTCCTGGGCCGCGTCTACCAGCCCCCGGAGCTGCCCTTCGTCCTGGGCAGAGCAGGGTCACGCCCGCCCAAGTGCGTGGTTTTAGAAGTGAGCGCAGCCGTGGATCAAGTGCACAGCGTGGTGACTGCAGCCTGCCCGCCACGGCGACCCCCTTGGCCAGGGGCAGGTGTTTGGAGCAGGTCCCCGTCCGTGCGGTTCTCTGAAGACCGACGGTGCCTACTTATGCTCCCGAGACCGAAGGGCAGGACATGGCTGTAGGAGGCCATGCAGGTTGCAGTCCTCGGCTGACTGGTGCCGTTTTAGTGTTGCAAGGCTTCCGAGAAACTTGCCATCGAGGGAGAGAAGGTGGCAGGTCCTTGAGAAGGGGGGGAACTGCCCAAATCAGCAGAAGCCGGGCATGATGGGAATCCTGGAGCTCGTGCCCCGCCCCCATCCCTAGACCTGAGAGAGCACGGGGGTCAGGTGATGATGACACACCACGTGACTGTCACTGGACATGAGATTGGGGTGCCTGGCCCCGCTGTCTGCAACAGGGGAGGGCGTGTTCAAGGGGCTACCTCAGAAAGCTCAGCGGTGGTGGCCTCGGGCAGGGTGGGGAGGACAGGAGCAGAGAGGGTTGAGGGGAGGGCTGCAGACTCAGGACCAGGTGTCTTACCCACTGCTCAGCCTCCATCTCCCCGCTCCGGACCTCCCTCCACCAGGTCCTGTGGGAAGGTCTGGTCCCACCCAGGAGCAAAACCGTGTGGCAGAAGCAAACAGCTGGGGACTAAGGGCCCAACCACCAATTCTGGTCAAGACACTGGTCTGCTGGCTTGAACTGCACATGGAGGCTCTAGGGGGTGGGGTGGGGGTGTCTGCTAGGAAGCGGAGACCCCCGAGGGCCATGCAGCTGGGAATCGGGCTAAACGAACAGGGTGGCAGCCTTCCGAGGAGGAGGAGGACGACGCACGGTGGGTCGGGACAGAGTTGGATTCGTTCCGTCTTTCAGCTGTGACGGTGGCAAGTCATGGACCCCACGGAGACCTTCACTTTCTCAGCTGTGAAACGGGTCACCTCGTGGTCACACCAGGAGGGCTACCTGCAGGAGCCGCGCTCAGCTCTGGCCGACACACTCAGTAGTTTTCTCTTTTATTGTTATTATTTTTTATTGTTGAAACTATTACAGATGTCCCCCTTTTTCCTCCATTGACCCCCTCCTTCCCACTCCCACCCCCTCCTGCCTTCCCCAGCCTAGTGTCCGTGTCCATTGGCTGTGCATAGAAGTTCTTTGGTTTATCTCTTCCCTCCTCCCACCCCCTCCCTCGGAGGTTTGTCAGTCTGCTCCCTACGCCCGCGATTCTTCTTCCTAAGAATTTGTACAGGAGTGATGTTCTAAAGTGGTATATTCACAGGTTGTGCAACCAGCACCACCCAGTAATCCAGGAACATTCCGCCACTCCACGGAGGCGTCCGTGCCAACCAGCAGCCGCCCCCGTCCCCCGTCCCCCGTCCCCCGTCCCCCAGCCCTGGGACCACGCGTCTGTGTGCTGTCTGCGGGTTTGCCTGTCCGGCCATTTCACACACCTGGGGTCCTCCAGGACGGGCGGTCTCGTGTCTGGGTCTTTTCACGTGGCCTGGCTTTCAAGGTCTGTCCGTGGGGCAGCACCTGCCGGCACCTCGTTCCCTTTCCATGGCCAGGTCCTGCCCGTGTGTGGACACAACGCTGTTCACAGCGATGGCCAGGTCCTGCCCGTGTGTGGACACGACGCTGCTCACCAGCGATGGCCAGGCCCTGCCCGTGTGTGGACACGACGCTGCTCACCAGCCATGGCCAGGTCCTGCCCGTGTGTGGACACAACACTGTTCACAGCCATGGCCAGGTCCTGCCCGTGTGTGGACACAACGCTGCTCACCAGCGATGGCCAGGTCCTGCCCGTGTGTGGACACAACGCTGTTCACAGCGATGGCCAGGTCCTGCCCGTGTGTGGACACAACACTGTTCACCAGCGATGGCCAGGCCCTGCCCATGTGTGGACACAACACTGTTCACAGCCATGGCCAGGTCCTGCCCGTGTGTGGACACAACGCTGCTCACCAGCGATGGCCAGGTCCTGCCCGTGTGTGGACACAACGCTGTTCACAGCGATGGCCAGGTCCTGCCCGTGTGTGGACACAACGCTGTTCACAGCCATGGCCAGGTCCTGCCCGTGTGTGGACACAACACTGTTCACAGCCATGGCCAGGTCCTGCCCGTGTGTGGACACAACGCTGCTCACCAGCGATGGCCAGGTCCTGCCCGTGTGTGGACACAACGCTGTTCACAGCGATGGCCAGGTCCTGCCCGTGTGTGGACACAACGCTGCTCACCAGCGATGGCCAGGCCCTGCTCGTGTGTGGACACGACGCTGCTCACCAGCGATGGCCAGGTCCTGCCCGTGTGTGGACACAACGCTGCTCACCAGCGATGGCCAGGTCCTGCCCGTGTGTGGACACAACGCTGTTCACAGCGATGGCCAGGTCCTGCCCGTGTGTGGACACGACGCTGCTCACCAGCGATGGCCAGGCCCTGCCCGTGTGTGGACACAACACTGTTCACCAGCGATGGCCAGGCCCTGCCCGTGTGTGGACACAACGCTGCTCACCAGCGATGGCCAGGTCCTGCCCGTGTGTGGACACGACGCTGTTCACAGCGATGGCCAGGCCCTGCCCGTGTGTGGACACAACGCTGTTCACCAGCGATGGCCAGGCCCTGCCCGTGTGTGGACACGACGCTGCTCACCAGCGATGGCCAGGTCCTGCCCGTGTGTGGACACGACGCTGCTCACCAGCGATGGCCAGGTCCTGCCCGTGTGTGGACACGACGCTGTTCACAGCAATGGCCAGGTCCTGCCCGTGTGTGGACACGACACTGTTCACAGCAATGGCCAGGCCCTGCCCGTGTGTGGACACGACACTGTTCACAGCGATGGCCAGGTCCTGCCCGTGTGTGGACACAACACTGTTCACCAGCGATGGCCAGGTCCTGCCCGTGTGTGGACACGACGCTGCTCACCAGCGATGGCCAGGTCCTGCCCGTGTGTGGACACAACACTGTTCACAGCCATGGCCAGGTCCTGCCCGTGTGTGGACACAACACTGTTCACAGCCATGGCCAGGTCCTGCCCGTGTGTGGACACAACACTGTTCACCAGCGATGGCCAGGTCCTGCCCGTGTGTGGACACGACGCTGCTCACCAGCGATGGCCAGGCCCTGCCCGTGTGTGGACACGACACTGTTCACCAGCGATGGCCAGGCCCTGCCCGTGTGTGGACACAACGCTGCTCACCAGCGATGGCCAGGTCCTGCCCGTGTGTGGACACGACGCTGCTCACCAGCGATGGCCAGGTCCTGCCCGTGTGTGGACACGACGCTGCTCACCAGCGATGGCCAGGTCCTGCCCGTGTGTGGACACGACGCTGTTCACAGCGATGGCCAGGTCCTGCCCGTGTGTGGACACGACGCTGCTCACCAGCGATGGCCAGGTCCTGCCCGTGTGTGGACACAACACTGTTCACAGCAATGGCCAGGCCCTGCCCGTGTGTGGACACGACACTGTTCACAGCGATGGCCAGGTCCTGCCCGTGTGTGGACACAACACTGTTCACCAGCGATGGCCAGGTCCTGCCCGTGTGTGGACACGACGCTGCTCACCAGCGATGGCCAGGTCCTGCCCGTGTGTGGACACGACGCTGCTCACCAGCAATGGCCAGGTCCTGCCCGTGTGTGGACACAACGCTGTTCACAGCGATGGCCAGGTCCTGCCCGTGTGTGGACACAACGCTGTTCACAGCGATGGCCAGGTCCTGCCCGTGTGTGGACACGACGCTGCTCACCAGCGATGGCCAGGTCCTGCCCGTGTGTGGACACGACGCTGCTCACCAGCAATGGCCAGGTCCTGCCCGTGTGTGGACACGACGCTGCTCACCAGCAATGGCCAGGTCCTGCCCGTGTGTGGACACAACGCTGTTCACAGCGATGGCCAGGTCCTGCCCGTGTGTGGACACAACGCTGTTCACAGCCATGGCCAGGTCCTGCCCGTGTGTGGACACAACACTGTTCACAGCCATGGCCAGGTCCTGCCCGTGTGTGGACACAACGCTGCTCACCAGCGATGGCCAGGTCCTGCCCGTGTGTGGACACAACACTGTTCACAGCGATGGCCAGGTCCTGCCCGTGTGTGGACACGACGCTGCTCACCAGCGATGGCCAGGTCCTGCCCGTGTGTGGACACGACGCTGCTCACCAGCAATGGCCAGGTCCTGCCCGTGTGTGGACACGACGCTGCTCACCAGCAATGGCCAGGTCCTGCCCGTGTGTGGACACAACGCTGTTCACAGCGATG